AGACACGCTCCCCTTTGGGTACAGAGATGACAAGATCATTTTTAATTCATACCATTGGGGTGTCACAACCGATCCCGTATCGTTACACCTCTAACCTCGGCATGGGAACACTCTTGTGACGCGACCCACCCAAAGAGACTACCGCACCGTTTACGACAAGCGACGCCTCGTCTACGACGAAACCACAGGGCTGCCTGTAGACACGCTCCCCTTTGGGTACAGAGACGACAAGATCATTTTTAATTCATACCATTGGGGTGTCACAACCGATCAGAAAAACTGGATCAAAAGCCTGGGTTTTCGACCAATCAGAGGCTACCTTTGCCCTGGGCGGCCCTCTGATTGGTCAAAACGAGGTTGTGCTTTCTCTCCCATGCTACAAGCCTGACCCTATGGAAAAGAAACACAAGGGTCGGTCCAGTTTGGAAAAATTGAGGCTCAGACCAGGCACCGGAACAGACCAATCAGGAAGCAGGGTGTCAGTGTCTTAAACTGACAGACGCTCTCCGGTCATCACTTTTCACTGAACGGTCAAAGCAACAACATCGTCCCTCTGATTGATGTCCCTCACATTGTGTTGGCAGTTGGCGTTTTATCTGGAAGAAACACGTGTTTGGAGAGAGTACCATCAAGTGTTGACACACATCCGTGAAGACTTGGAAAGAAACAACGAACAGAAAATCCGGACAACATCATGTCAAAACTTATGAATGCCAAGACAAGGAGCGACATGGGTGGTAAAGGGAGTGGAGATGGGAACGGTGAAATGACTGCTTAAATGTGGGGTGAAGTGTATGATATGTTGTTTGCGAAGATAAAGGCCGACGACGTGTACGCTAAGATACGCACCGAAGAAGACGATAAAGAAGACCCAGAAGAAAAAAACAAGCAAACCAGCAGCAGCATCAACAACAACAGCAGCAGCTGCAACCACAGCAGCAGCAGCAGCAGCAGCAACCAACACAACAACTACAGCACCAACCACAACAACAGCAGCAGCAGACACCGAAACGAAAGGGACATCCTTTTTGAAACCTGCAACACCTGCAAAAAGACGACCACGGAAGAAATTGTCTCTGAAGATCCCTCACCAAGAACAGCTGTAAGTACCATGCTATTCTTTGGGATGTGTATGCCATTATGATGATGATGATGAGTATCACGATGCTCGTGGGTATACTGAAGGGTTCTTTTCTTGTTGGATTGACAGGACACCCATCCTTCCTTCCCCCGATGTCAGTTCAGCACAGTCCGTGTTAGAACAGTGGTGGGAACAAATCCCTCGGGAGCCAACCTATTTGCCTAATGGGTCTGTGATGATGACGACCAGTGGCGGTGATGATCATGAAGCGCTCAAACTGGCAGCCCTCCCTTCCATGGATCTGGACACACCCACCCTGTTTCATGCTTCTTTGTCACCAGCATCACCGGAGGATTTTGATGTCTTCTCCTCAGGTATGCCCATGGTTTGCAAAGACGACGGCAACGTTGACCAGGATCCTTATGGAGAAGCTAACTCACTCCCCTACAACGTGAATGTAGTGTCTGCCAACACAACAACATGTTAAGATACATAAGCTGCAACAGTGGTCAAGTGATGTGTCATGTCTGTTTCAGGGAGGCCATAGACTGTACCTGTTTTACTGATGGGTCCCTAACATGGTTGGTATGATGGAGGACCACATCTTATGGTGACCCCATCATCACTCCAAGAGCTTGAAGATGGAAGATGAAAGGTTTTCGTGTTGTTGAAGGGACATGCAAAGCACTCCCTCCTCAGTTTTCTTTTTGTATTTCCTATGTATCTGGTTGTTGTTCATTATTTAACAGTGATTGATTGAACTGACTCTTTGTGTCTTGATTGATCTCAACTCCAATAGGGTGCCAAACCGAGGGTAGAGGCTGAGTTGAGATGTCGTCTACGTAGTCTGTCTGTCTGTCTGTCATGTCAGTGCACATGCTTGATGTAAAAAAAACAAAGAAAAAAGTAAAGAATAGATAAAAGAAAAAGGCAATGCTTGAATGATCAGCTGCCTGGTGTCAGTCACCTAGTACACACCACCACCACCACTGCTGCCGTGTGTCAGTCAGCCCAACACAGGATGACGTCACGTGATGGTGATGATGATGATGATGATGATGATGATGATGAAGAGGTCATGACCTCCCGTTTGAGGAGAGGAGACTTTCATAAAAGCAGGCGAACGCCCAGACCTTCTTTCAGTGGAGTCACAGTCATCATGGGGCAAAGACGGTCTATGAATGCCATGTCATCATCCCGAGATGTCCCCTATACCGAGGGGGTGTCTGAAAAGGCGGGAGAACAAGCGAGAAAACGCACACTCTTTATGGAGGACACACTCTTTATGGACGACACATGGCGACTCAGTGACATTCTGGAGGGACCTTTTCCTTCTTACACCTTGTGTCATCCTTCTCATCCTAATTATGATTCATTTCAAGAACGTCTGAGGTCTTTTCAAACGTGGCCTAAACAGATGACCCAGACCCCTTATGACATGGCCATGGCTGGCTATTTCTATCAAGGACGAGGTGACCGTGTTATCTGTTATTGCTGCGGTGCAACACTCTGCCAATGGGAGACCACAGACAAACCCTGGAAAGAACATCTGAAGCACGCCAAAGTCCGCTGCAGCTTGTAAATATGTAAGTATTTTTAGTGTAGATAAGGTATCATGTCTTTTCTTTTTCAGCTTGTTGATTCAACAGAGGGTTGTGTCATTTCCTGGTTTCTGATTTATTATTAGTTATGTCCTTATCATTATTTGCTACTGATAAGTTTCTACTGGGTCAAAGGTCAATGGTCCAGTCTATTTTACTTCCAAGGGTGTTTTGTTCTATTGTTTGCTCGTCATTAGGTTTACCTGTTGTTAGCCAATTAGTATACCTTTCAATTCAAATCCCTTTCTTACCTGCCATTGCTAATCTTATGCTGCACACACACCTGCACTGCACAGCAAGTCATTATGGATTGAACATCAAGTAATCAAGGTTAGTAATCATAATTAATCTATATCAATCTAAACTTTATGATTTCAATCATCAGTTTAAATCAAGTACATAAAAAATAAAATAGGTTTTAAATAACTTGTAAACATAATCCCATTTAGTGCTCTACACTAAATGCGTTTATTGAAATCCGCTCAACCATCTTCTTTACCATTTTCTGTTTATACTTTTCCCTTGCTTACACTATGACATCATTGTCCCGCCATCTCCTTTCAGGTGACGTCACAACGTCTAACCCCGTAACTGGTGACCTCATCACTTGCTATCTTTTGCCTTTCGCTGCTCTTGGTTGTTGCGCTATCTATAGCTTTCACAGTTCAATTTTATCTGTTTATTTTGGTCACTAAGATGCCTCCTAAACGCAAAGCATCTATCAATCATCGGCTGGGAAAAGGGGCTGCGAGCAGGGCAAAACAGCCGAGGACAAGGCAATCAGCCTTTACAACTGATCCAACGGGTGAGTTATCTTGTTTTGCTAGTTCTTTCACAATCGGTGCCCCAATCTCCGTAAGTGTTGATCCCGCATTATTGTTACCTAATTCGGTCAATTCTCCTCCAATTACCGCTCCGTCATCTGTTAACGATTTTACGGAGCATTTGCAAGCCATTTTACAACTTCTTCACAACAATCCCAATGTTACCCAGGATTCTCAAACTCATACTAACCAATGTCAAAATTCCAATTTCACTACGCCAACTGCTACGGATGCCCATGAGACCCGACCTCAACCTGGCACATCCGATCACCATAATATGGCATTCCTTCCATCCGCCTCATCTTCGGTAGACCCCCTCTCGTACAGCGCAGAAACTATTGGCGCCCACATTAGACAATCTCTACGCGAAAGGATCTGGAAAGGGGAGTACGTTGACCTACAGCTACTCAGCCCTAAGCTGTCGGAGAATAGGGACGAGGACGAAGGGACGTTCAGGTTGGTATCGTATCAAACAGGTACAGTAATGTTTGCACCTGCGCAGTCGCGGGGCAGCTCAGGTAAACCACTGGATCTAGGGGCTTGGACCACAGCCTTTCATGTGTATATGTCCATATATCTTGAAAAACATTGTTCACTCTCTGTTGTTCAGGGTATGTTATCTTATCAAGAATCTGTCCGTGGGGCCGCTCTCAAATTTGGTGGCGAGGGATGGGTGACATATGACAGGCAATTCCGCCACAGGATGGCAAGGGACCCGACAAGGTAGTGGGGCCGGATCGATGGTGATCTGTGGTTACAACATATGTTGCCACAGCAACAGCAACGGGCTTCAGCGCCGGTAAGGGTAACAAATCGCAGTAACAGTGCCTTTCCAAATAATGTATGCTGGGATTTCAACAAAGGTGCATGTAGCCGACCAGCCTGTAGGTATCTGCACAAGTGTGGGAAGTGTGGGAATACCAAGCACGGGGCCGCCGCTGGTATCTGCTTTCGAGGCACAGGGCCTAGGGAGCGTCAGGCCCAGTCTTCAACAAACAACTCCCATCCCGGAAACACAGGTAACCAGCGTCAGAAGCCTAACGTCACTAGCACCATCTCCAGTCAAGCTAAGTAATTTACTTCCGTATCTGCTACCTTATTCCAACGTAAATGCATTTCATGCATTAAGTTTGTTTGATGGTTTCCAATCGGGTTTTCGCCTAGGTTATCAGGGACCCCGCCTGTTTAGATCTGCAGGTAACTTGTCGTCGGTCAAACAACCTGAGTCACAATCCATAGTCAAGGCCAAGCTGGATAAAGAAGTCATGTTGGGTAAGGATAGCTGGGCCCTACTACGACCCACCATTCAAAAGTTTGCAAGTGTCGCTTATTGGCTTGGTCCCAAAGAAGCAAGACACCACATCCTCTCACAGGCCTGTTAAGGATAACTATAGATTAATTCATCATCTTTCATTCCCACAGGGTACTTCAATTAATGATAATATTCCACAACAAGAGTGCTCTGTTACCTACGCACGCTTTGACGCAGCCGTGGCCATGGTACAACAGCTTGGCCAAGCAGCTCAGTTAGCAAAATTTGACATTAAGTCAGCTTTCAGGATAATTCCAGTACATCCGGCGGACTTTGAACTACTGGGTATCAATTTCCAAGGCTTGTATTATTTTGACAAATGTTTGCCCTTTGGTTGTGCAAAGTTTAGTTCCTTTCTACAGTGGTGTATGCAGCAGGACCTCCCAAATGGCCAGCTTATGCACTATTTGGACGATTTTCTCACAGGGGGTAAGTCAGACACAGCTGAATGTAACCAAAACCTGCATATTTGTCTCAACCGTTTGAGCCAATTTGGTGTTCTGGTAGCTTCCGAAAAAACAGTGGAACCCACTACCTGCATCATGTTTCTATGGCTATGCAAAATTGGCGCCGTTACCATGGAGATCAGGGGCTTGATTGAAACAGGTAAAAATAAGATCACAAAGCACCAGTTGCAGTCACTGGTGGGTAAACTCAACTTTATATGCCGCGCTATACCGATGGGTCGTGCATTCTGCCGCAGATTTATTGACCTCATGTGCACTGTAAAATCGCCGCATCATCGAATCCGGATTACACGGATGTGGCTAACATTCTTGTCGGGTTTCAATGTTATATCAGTGTTTCAGGAAAGTGCAGCTATACCGGCAGTGCAGGCTTTGGTGCAAATTTTCAAGGACACTGGGTCTCGGGAAAGTGGCCCCAGCATTGGGTTGAGGACGGTACCACTAGAGATATGACATTACTGGAGTTATTTCCAATTGCGTTGTCTATGCAATTGTGGGGTAAGTCTCTGGCTAACAAAAAGTCTTATTCAACTGTGATAACCAAGCGGTAGTGTACATTCTCAACAAACAATCCTGTGAAGGGCCTAAGACGATGTCATTGGTCAGACAGCTTGTTCTGCTTTCCCTCAAATTTAACATTCTTTTCAAAGCTAAGTACCTGAGTACGCACGATAACATTATTGCTGACGCATTATCGAGATTTCAGTGGGACTGCTTTGTCAAGTAGCTCCAACTGCAGACCACCACCAGACACCGCTGCCAGACGACATTTGGGGGATTTAGAAGCTGAAGCCATGCGACTGCTACAGCTGTCTTTTACAAGCAATACTTGGTCAACTTACCAAACAGGTCTAACAGTATTTCAGCACTTCCGGTCTACCCACGATCTGAGGGATGAATGGCCAGTTCCGATAAGTCACATTGTTCATTTCATTGCTTCAATGTCTGTGAGCCAATGCTCTATCAATACCGTCAGAACCTATATTTCTTCAATAGATATTTCATTGCTTCAATGTCTGTGAGCCAATGCTCTATCAATACCGTCAGAACCTATATTTCTTCAATAGCAACATATCATAAATTAAATGGTCTTGTACACTGTTGCGACAATTTCCTCATCAACAAAGTTATCTCTGGCATGTTTAAGAAGCGTTCCCGCCAAGATACTCGGAAACCGATCAAATCTGATCTTCTTCAATTAATTATCTCTAACTTGCGTTTTGTTTGTAATTCCGCCTATGAATATCGTCTTTTCTCAGCAGCGTATTGCGCTGCCTTTTTCGGATTTTTCAGAGTAGGTGAGCTGGTACAGGGCAGGTTAGGGCAGGGAATCGCCATTCAAGATATCTCTCAGCGAGTTGCTGACGTAATATTCAAACTCCGGCATTCAAAAGCCGACAGATCCGGAAAGGGCGTCTCTATCTCTATTGCCGCGCTACCCTCACACCCTCTCTGTCCAGTCAAGGCCATGTCGGATTATCTGCAGATACGTCCTCTCGGTCCTACACAGGCATTTGTTCATTTTAACCATACACCTGTTACCAGATATCAATTTCAAGCTGTCTTGAAAAAAGCTCTCGCTCATGGTGGCGTTGATACTTCAGAGTTCTCGTCACACTCTTTTCGGATAGGCGCCGCTACATCGGCAGCAGTAAATGGCGTATATTTCATAACATAACCATGTTTTCTTTTCCCACCCCTTATTAACTATTTTATGTTGCAGTATGGATAGTAGGATCAAGCTACATTTCGAGGGCCGACCAGTTTGTTTCCCGGCATCATATGCGCCCAACTGATTGTTTGTGGCTGGGGAGAGGTGGCCGCAGATGGGAGGATCTTAACAAGGAGGTGGAGGCACAAATGGCCACACGTAAACATTCCAAAGCCATAATTATCCACCTCGGGTACAACGACCTGGTCGCGACCAAATCAAGTGCTCTGTACCTTGAAATTTATATGTCCCTTCTCCGGATACAGCTACTGATGCCATCAACCAAAATCATCTGGTCAAACAAAATGCCGAGGAGGCACTGGATGGGGCCACATTCTTACTCGCCATCGACAAGGCCAGGTCGACCCTCAACCGTCGTGTCGGTAACCGAGTTAGGGAGCTCGGAGGTATTCAGATTCACCACCCAGCCATCTGGGCCATATATAGTGATATGTACATTTGGGATGGCGTCCATCTCTCCAATAAAGGTCAGCGACTCTTTGTCAACAATCTCTTGGCAGCTGTAAAGTTATTTTCGTAAATAACTTCCGCTTTTGGCAGGGTTAGGTCCTTACATCCAGTTTGGTTTTAGGTCTTTTGGTGGGCTATGCACGTTCGTGCTTTGGCATAGTACTTGTGGGCACAATTAATGTATGATATATTTTACATATCATTGACATCAGCAAATTTATAGGCTCCTGCTCTTCTTTACACTTTTCCCTTGTTTACACTATGACATCATTGTCCCGCCATCTCCTTTCAGGTGACGTCACAACGTCTAACCCCGTAACTGGTGACGTCATCACTTGCTATCTTTTGCCTTTTGCTGCTCTTGGTTGCTGCGCTATCTATAGCTTTCACAGTTCAATTTTATTTCCCTCCCACCCTCCCCTACCATGCCTCTGGTTGCATGTGTGGATTATATTATAATAATGAATGTTTCTTTCTTCAGAATAAACGTTGATGGCGAGCATAGTACTTGTGGGCACAATTAATGTATGATATATTTTACATATCATTGACATCACCAAATTTATAGGCTCCTGCTCTTCAGCAGGAACCTTCCATCCCTCTGCTCATCAGCGGTTGGGATTCCAACTTTTTGGCTTATTCAATTTCTGCCCGCTTTTCAACGGGATATGTATTATTTTCTTACTGCTATTGCTGCTGGCGGAACTGGTCGCCCATCGCTGCTGCTGCTGCTGGCAACTCAAGTTGCCCATTTAACTACCTTTGCTTAACTACCCACAAGTACTGCCTCACCTGGACCTTTCACCAAATATATTCTTCTCTTATTTATTTGGCCTGCCTGGGCAACATGTCCTTTCAGGCCTTTCGGTGGGGGTGTGTTTCAATAAACAAACGATAGGTTGAGTGAATGAGGTGAGTGTGATGAGATTAGGGTCTGATTCATAATATATTGCTTATCTATACATATATTTAATATTTCAATGCATTGGTTATTTGGTATTTTGTGTATTTTGGTATTTGATGCATGTTTGCTATTATTTAGTAAATCTGGTGTATTTCTAGACTTTGTACACATCTCTCTAGATGTATGCATGTATTTATTGATAGTTGTATTAATGACTGAAGTTGTATTTCAGTGATGCATGTATATGCCGTGATTATATATGTTATTTACAATATTATAATTAATATTGTATCTGTATTTAGAGCCATGTGACTGTCGAATGAGACGACTGGCGGAAGGCATCTTACACTCTCGTGTCACACACAGGGTATGTTTTGTATATAGTTTATCTATATAATATGTTCATGTCGTGCATTCATTATGCACAATATGATTTAATGATTTCCTCAGTTATGCGTTTAATTATGTGTAATTATATTGTCTTTGTATTTGCACTGAAAAGATATCGAGGCAGAAATGTATTTGTGTATCTGCTGTAATGATGTAATCAGTTATTAAGAAGCAGATCTATACTTTACATTTAATGTGTTATTGTACATTTATTCTGAAACACGTGATATATTGTGATTTTAAATTGTTTCAGGAGTGTCTTCTTTATGCCTTTGCTGAATAAACTGATATTCTCACAACCCCGTGGACTGTAATCACTTGGCAACTAAGGGTTACACATAAGGTCTACAACATTGGAGCCCCCAGTGAGGATACAGCGGTGTTCCAGCGTCTCAACAGTGACCAACATAGACTTGATGATGTGCTGCTAGGTATATTTTTGTGATGTGCTTTATAGAGACAAACTGATGTATCAAATTGATATCAATTTCTATAATTGATTTGATTTCCATCATTTGTCAATTACTGGATAAGTGATTGACTTGTGACATAGTGATTCGGTTTTCCATCCACGATGACTGAGTCCATATCTACGTCCATCAGATGAATTGAAGAAGATATCTCCAAGAATATTATACTTTGTGTAAATAGACTTTCGCCATAAAGGCATTAAGATCATGTCAAAAAAGTACTCAGGAAACCACTAGCCAAACCTAAAATCCTACACCCCTCTAAAAATTGACAGATTAATTACAAAACTCCAAACAGGACACACAAACCTAAATAACCACCTAAAAAAACTTAAAAGACACACCACAGGCAACTGCCCCCACTGCAAACAACCCGAAACCACAGAACACGCACTAATTCACTGCACCCACTACCAAACACACAGAACCACACTACAAACCACCCTCAATCTAAATAAGGTTCCTACTCTAGATGAAATACTAAACCCTCAAAATAAACTAGAAAAACTTCAAGGCCCTAGGCGTATTCCTAATCAAAACAGATCTAATTAAGAGCATCTAAAAACTCATTAATCTACCAATCCAAAATCAAATATACATACAAACACCCATCTCACCCGGCTCCCTTAGTTCCCTCCTCTACCCACTTCGGCATCAATTCCAAATTTATAAATTCCAAAAATTCAATATAAGCAAACCCTAAAAGCCCCCTCTTGGGTTGCACTCACCACCTTCACCCTTTTCGAAATACACTAAATGGCCCGGCCAGGCGCGTGTGCGAAATACGCTACAGTCGGAAAGCGCACGTTAAATCTCCTATATCAGTCAGTCAGTCAGACACACACACTGCATTCTATGAAATCAACCATGTCATCTCGATACAGCTGCATCAAGTGTCAGACCGACAGTCACAGTTACCTGTACTGCCCGGAAGTGACATGTACCGAGTGCCACACTCACGGTCACCGCCACTATGTCTGTCCGAAGATAAGCAGAAGACTCAGGGCCCATGTTACAACTGTCAAGTCGTGGGTCATTTCGCTGCAGTTGTCCAGAACCCAGTCGAAAGAAGACTCCCCAGGGCTCATGTTACAACTGCCAAGTCGTGGGTCATTTCGCTGCACATTGCCCAGAACCCAGTCGAAAGAAAACTTCAGCAGCGCCGTCCATGTCGACACCAGTGACACCAGTGACACAAGTGCTTCATCTCATAGAAGCCATGCATATCGGTGTCCGTGCCCTAAAAGGGCATCACACCACGTCTAGGGACAGAAGCCCCTCAAGAAAACACACTTCAAAGCGCCGACGACGTCATCAGTCCGAGGAAGAGGAGGAAGAAGATAGATCATCTGAGCAAAGTGACTACCGCGTGGGACATGCTGCTCCACTGTTTTTCCAGTTTCCAATCGTTTCCAGTTTCCAGTTTTTCCAGTGTTCCCAGTGTTCCAGTGTTCCTACAGTTTCCTCCCGTTTCCAGTTTCCAGTTTGTTTTCAAACGGCCCTTTTCAGGGCCATCCATCTCTCCCGAAAGAACGCTTTCATCCATGTCTTTGACGACCCTCAAACCAAAACAAAGAACCTACCACTACCACAAAAAAAGAAAAAAATGAACATAAAGGATTTTACATGCGTTTTTCTTTCAATTTTGATATTTTCATATTGTAAGAGCGCTTCTTATGGTCGCCTCCTCCCTGGAAACGGATGAGCCGCCCTCTTGGAGGTGCGCAGGCCTCCCGGAAACGGACATGCCGCCATCTTGGATTCGCGCGCCACCGGGAACGGATATGCCGCCGTCTTGGATGCGCACGCGTCATCGGAACCGGAGGTGATGTCATCATGGATGCGCACACCACCGGACCCGGAACTTGCCTTCGCGCATGCGCAGACCCGTGACTGGTCCTGAAGTGACGCCACCAACTACTGGCCTTTAAGTAAGAATTAACAACACACACATACGAAACCTTCAGCCTTAGCCTAAGAGCAGCAACGGCAATAAACTAAACCCTATAAACCCAAAACCAAACAACCAACCACTAAGCCCTCAATAATGGAAGGTCTAAATATTTTTCAGTGGAACGCCAACGAACTAACCTCAAACGGCCATGAACTAAAAACTAAATTTAAACAAGATAAAGGCCATCATATTGCCTGCATCCAGGAAACTAAATTCGCCAAAAAATCCAAATTCACACTATCAAACTAAAACTCAGTCAGAACACACCGAACCAAAACCAAAACAGGTAGGGCCGCAGGAGGCCTAATAATATACATCAGATATTAACTAACGAGGAAATCAAGATAAACACGCCAAACCTAGACACTAACGGCAGCCGAATCACAATAAACAACAAAAAAGATAAACATCATAAATATATACCACTGGGTAGAACAAAAAGTCCAACCTGAAGACCTATATAAGCTACTCCAAATAAGCAACAAATCCACGATATTTCTAGGAGACTTCAACGCTCACCACCCTACCTGGAGCATAGATGACAAAACATACAATCATGGCAAACTAATTTTCGAATGGATAGAAAAAACGACTTAGTACTTCTAAATAGTAACCAACCCACGAGATACGATAAAAAAAAACAATAAATGTCGGCTATCGACCTAACTATTTGCACCGCAGATATAGCCAATGGGAAGTACATGATGTCCCACGAACTAGTGATCACTTCCCCATTAATATAACTATAGGAGATACAAACGTACCAATCCAAATACAAAATCAGGAACCTAAATTTCATGATAACCAAACAAACTGGGACCAATTTCAAGAAATCTGCAATCAGGCTAATCTAAACGAACTAGAAAATAATGATCCTACTGCCAAAACCTGACATACTATATAATAAACGCAGCTTAAACCTCAATCCCATTCAAAACAACTAAAACAGGCAAACCTTCTGTACCATGGTGGAACGAAGAAATAGAACAAACTAGACGAAAACGTAAATCCGCATTCAATAAAGCCAAACGCGACTATAAACATCTAAAAATAGATCACGAACTAAACCACCAAGTTCAAAGTCTAATCAAAACAGCTAAAACTAGAGACTGGAAAAAATTCTGTGAAGAAATAAATAACCGTACAGACGCCAGAACGGTCTGGCGCAAAATCCACGCCATTAGAGGCATAAAACGTCATAAAAAAACCAACTGATATAAATAACTCAACAAACCCAGCCGAAAAGGCAAATAACCTCGCAAACCACTTTTCGGCCGTTAGCAGCAACAGCAACTTTAGCCTAAAATTTCAAGATAAACTTAAAACAGAAAATAAAATCACCAAAGAACCATATAATGATAACCTAGAAATAAACCTCCCATACACATTAGAGGAGCTTCTTCTTTTTTTCTTCTTTTTTCATTTATTCATGTTAATTGTCCACGATTTTACATGGCCCTGTACATTGCCACGTGGACTGGCATACCAGGGTTTATATTTGGGTTTGAGTTGCTTAAAGCAATAATACTCATCTAATTATTCAGTACACATTTAATTTTTTCTGCAAGATTAACATTGTTATACTGTAGTACTTTGTATTGTATTTCTAGTTCTCTTTTAAATATTCTAAAAAGGCAGTCGGTTTCAGTTACTTTGCATCTGTACACAATATACTTTGCTAGCAGTAGTAAATAATACATCAAAGTACACTCCTCTGTGCCTCCTTCTATACCATACAATACAATATCTCTGTAATTATCATAAATCTGATTAAGTACATTAACCTTCGCCAACTTAAAGAATTCTATCCAAAAGGGTAATACATTTGAACAGTAAAACATGTAATGTCTAACAGTATCTATACTACCTCAATGTTCACATACATTACTTTCTTTATTGTTAATTCTATTTAAATACTGACTACAAGGAATGATTGAGTGTAGAATTTTGAATTGCAGTTGCTTATACTTGTTTCAAATTCTCATGTGTTTTAAAATTTTCCATTTAAAAACATCTTCATTAGCAACTTGGAACACGTTATAGATTGTTTTATGCCAAAATTTACTTTTACAAGGTGTGTCAGCAAGTCTGATTCCTTTAACTTCAGGATGTGGTTCATTTTCTATAGGACCCGCGTTTTGGAAACTAAACATGTTCTGCCGTATTGCCTTCCTAATAGCATTGATATACCTACTATATTTTCTTGGTGTTATGTCAATTCCATATTTCCTAGCAATTGTTTCGCTTCTCTACGTCATCCAAAACAGGAAAAAGGGCACAGCCCCAGGATTGGACCTAACCTCCTATCAAATAATAACCCAACCCCCACACACCCCTCCCCCAAACTACTCCAGGCACTACTTAAACTATACAATCTCATATATATAAAAAAAATAGGACTCAAAGGTCAAATAATTAATTACATCCAGGACTTCCAAAACAATCGTAAAATAACCGTGGGTATAGACCAAACGCTATCGGATCAATGCCCCCTAGAAAATGGCACTCGCCAGGGCAGTATCCTCAGCCTCACACTCTTCAATATAATGATAAATGATCTATTCGAGGGCCTATCCCCCAAAGTTAACACATCTAAATTCGTGGATGACGGAGCCCTCTGGATCCGCACCAAAAGTATAAAAACCACCCAAGACCTACTACAAAAATCCCTAAATAAAATCCAACTATGGTCTGACAAATGGGACTTCTCCCTAAACCCGGAAAAAACTACTGGAATAGTATTTAAACATAAAAATATGAAACCTGCCTTCCCTAAACTCCTCCTAAACAACAACCCAATCAAATTTCAAAGGCAAATTAAATTCCTAGGATATATCTTTTATGAGCATCTCACCTGGGATGCTCACATCAAAGAACTGGTAACTAAGTGCAGTAAAGACCTAAATACTCTAAGATGTCTCACGGGCTCCAACTGGGGAGCCGCTAAACCAAATCTGCTCTCACTATACATATTTCTAATTTGATCAAAAATAGACTACGGCTGCGCCATTTACAACACCCTAAACAACTGACTAAATAAAAAACTAAATTCCATCCAATATCAAGCTCTAAAACTCATCACCCGAACGCAACAAGGTACCTCTCTCACATCACTCCAGGCTCTAACAGGAGAAACCCCACTTGAATTACGTAGGGAGCAACTTACCCTAAACTTCTGGGCAGCGTCCCAATCAAACCCTCTAATCGTAAAAATCCTTAAAAGAAACATCAGCCCTAAAAACCAAACATTAGCAAAAAATACCCCCTCCTCACCCCAATCTCACAAAAAATTACTCACTATCTAAAAGAGCACCAACTCAATAATCATAAACAAAACACCAAACCCCCAAACGCCTTCACCCCTAAACTCCAAATACCAAAGATAGATACATCACTATCCAACATCCTAAACAAAAAAACAGACCCCAACATAGCCAAAACCATCTCACTCGCATACATTCGCGAGACTTGGCCAAATTGGTGCCACATCTACACAGACGGATCTTCAGATCCGATCTCCAAAACAAACAGGTTTCGGAGTACACGCCTCACAACCAAACAAGCAAACCAAATCATACCAACTCCCAAACAACCAGTCCATATTTACAGCCGAACTTATGGGCATGGCCACAGCCCTCCACAGCCAACAAACTAAAAACCATCAAAACATCCTTATCCTAACAGACTCCCTCAGCGGTCTCCAGGCACTCCAAAATAAAAACATTAAAAACCGCCCAAAATTAATTAACCAAATACTTAAAAGCACAAGCGACCTAACTAAAGCTGGGAAAAGCATACAATTTCTTTGGACCCCTGCCCATGTAGGCATTTTTGGCAACGAAAAAGCAGACGAAGCAGCTAAACAATCCCTTAAAATCCCAAATAAAAGCCTTAACCTACCAATCTCTAAATCTGAAATCAAAAGTATCCTCAAACAAAAAATCTCAAAAAATGGCAAACTAACTTCCTAAACTCAGATTGTCAAATTAGAAAAGTATTAAAAAAACCTTAAACAAACCAAAAGTACTACACCCCTCCAACAAAATAGACAGGGTCAAAACAAAGCTTCTCCAGACAGGCCACACAAAACTAAATAACCACCTTAAACAAATTAAACGACACGCAACAGGAACCTGCCTACACTGCACCCAACAAGAAACCACAGAACACGCTTTTATACACTGCACTCGTTACCAGACACATAGAACAACTCTACAAACCACACTTAACCTAGAGCAAGGACTAACTCTAGATAAAATCCTAAACCCATTAATGCATTTCAAAGCCCTAGGCTATACCTACTTAAAACAGATCTATTAAACCGCATCTAAAAACCATCCAACTCACTAATACACTCAAAACCACATAAACAAACAACCATAAACCCAACACGGCTCCCGTAGTTCCAAAATTATCCCTTAAACTTCAAGAAAAAAGTTTAAACTTACCCAGCTCAAAATCAGAAATCAAAAGTGGCACTAAACAAAAAATCAACAAAAAATGGCAAAATATATACCCAAACCCAAATAGCCAAATCAGGAAAGTACTAAAGAAAAAAACCGAACTAAACCAAAAATACTACACCCATCCCAAAAAATCGACAGAATAATTACTAAACTACAAACAGGCCACACCAAACTAAATAATCACCGTAAAAAAGCAGGAAAAAGGAAACTGCTCACATTGCAAACAACAAGGAACACCAGAACAGGTACTCATTCACTGCACACACTACCAAACACACCGAACAACACTACAGACCACACTAAATCTTAAAACCGCACTTACACTAGAATCAATCCTAAATCCACAAAATAAATTAGAAAAATTCAAAGCCTTAGGCATACTCCTAATTAAAACAGGACTAATTAGTCGCATTTAAACCCCAAATAAAATATTAAAACCAAAACTACCTAATCTAAGAACCACCCTACACACACAGCTCCCTTAGTTCGCCCTCCACCCACTCTTGGCTTTCATTCAAAATCTCAAAATTTCAAAATTACTATATAAGCAGCCCCTAAAGCCCCCCTCCTGGGTAGCACAAACTCACTTTTCCCCTTTTCGGAAACACATTAAATGGCCTGGCCGGGCCCGTGTGCGACATACGCTTGCAGTCGGAAAGCGCACGTTAAATCTCCAATATAGGTAAGTAAGTAAGGAAGGAAGGAAGGAACCGTCAGTCATCGCTCACCAGAATCTGCTGAGGTACAGTCGGCTCCCGCGCCCTGAATCGGGACCATTTATTTTACGGCTTTCTATGGGATGTTTGATTAGGAGGTGTGGGTGGGGGAAAAATAGAGTAAACATTAAATAGGTTTGTTTTGTTTGTGTACACTAATTTTGGTCGCCGCCTGACATCACTTGATTGACTAGTGGTAGCGATAGTATAATAGAGCTCCGCGAACGGGATATCGCTGTGAGGAGCTTACGTCCAGCTTGGCGCAAGCTGACTCCGCGCAGAGGGACCCGGGAACCTGCTTGGTGTGCATTCGGACTGACAACTAGTTCCCCGCTTCGTGTCGCGGCTTCTAAAATTTGTAGTATATATACTAAGACTGGGAACTAGCTTAGATCAAAGGTATGTATTCTATCGCTGTCATCAGTGACAGCTCCCACTGTGGGCCAAAACCATGCATGGAGCTGAACTCACAACGAACTGATCGTTGTGTATTGAAACAATTCGTAAATTCATCTGGCAAATAAGGTTGGGCACCTTGCCAATCAAATACCCATTTTCGATCCTTTCGCACCCCGTACCCATAAGGTAAGGTAAACAATCGGGTGCTGATAACTTGAGCACTGATTATTTGTATTAGCACCCATGGTCCTGTGTCTGTCTGCGACTTTAGACACTCGTCCGAAGCCCAAGTTTAGTAAAATTCTGTTTAATCTATTAAGAACAGCTTATAAATGCCATATGATAACAGTAAATTCTACTGTAAATGATGATGCTAAGAGACAAATTCCGGCGAGGGCTAGTTGACTCAAAAGGTTTTGGCACAGACTGCCATGGTAAATTGTTGGCTAATTACATTAACTATGTATCCTAGGTTAGTTTCAAGCGGGCAATGTGAGTTTGATCCTCTACTAAGAGAAATCTGAAAAGTGGGCCTGGTAAAGCACATTTGTCACATTGCTGTGATTGTTTCAAAGAATCCATTTCAGCTTGACAATACATGGGTGAAAATGACATGTAAATAATAATAATAAATAAAGCTGCAAAGCAGCAATGGTGGACTCCAAGTTACACTGTGCACAAACGTCCATGTTCGAATCCTCAAAGGCTTTCCTTGTACCAAATCTGTCAAATATAGACACCACTTGCAGGGTATTGCCGCTACGAAATTGTCTTGTGCCAGAGTGTCCAAGTCTGTTCTAAACCCATTTCCAACCTCGAACATGTTCGAATCCCCAAAGAGTTTGCTTTTACCAACTCCGTCAAAAACAAAACTAAAAAGAATATCCAAAAACGGCTATGACAATTTGTTGTGTTCTGTATTGAGACAATTCTCAGAAAGTTTGAATTCATTTCATGCAGTGGAATCAGAGGAGATAGTATTTGAAGACAGGTAACCCGAAATCCTTGTGAAAACCTTGATATCCAATTTCATGCAGTGGAATCAGAGGAGATGGTATTTGAAGACAGGTAACCCAAAATCCCTGTGAAAACCTTGAATCCAATATGGCTGCCAAACCAAGTGATCAATGACCAAAGTCAAAAAACAAAAATTATCAAGCATTTGAAGCAGTAGATACATGCAAGGTTTGAAAGTAAACGAACAAACAGTTGTGGAGCAGCAGGGCAAAATATATAATCTAAAAATACTTGTTTTTCAGTTATCTGCCCTTGCCCTTTGGGCCTACGGCCTTGGGTTTTTGGCGGGCACTAGTACCCAACCCTCTACATACACACACAAAATTTGAACAAAATCAAGCCAGTGGTTATTTTGCTAGCTCTGGTACAAAAATCGGCGGAATAATAATAATATTAAATCAACAATAATGAGGGCTCTTCAGCCTTACGGCTTGTTTACTCTTTAACAGGCTGTCACTTCTTTGTCATTTGAGCATCAATCAAATGGATTAGCGTTGTGAGTTCGTCAGGACCCCGGGTTTCTGTCGCATTGCTGAGATAAAGTGCCGAACCTGTTTCCAACCTTGTCCATGTTCGAATCCCCAAATGGTTTGTTTGTACCGACTCTGTTTAAAGCAAGGAAACACTTGAGAGACATCGCAGCTACGCCATTGACGTGTCCCAGAACGTCCCGGGATGTTCTGCACCCATTTCTCACGCCGTCCATGTTCGAATCCGTATGGTTTGCTTGTACCAACGACGTCAAACGGAAGGAACCGCTTGCGAGACATCACCACATGTGTCCCAGTGAGTTCTTAACCCATTTCCGACCTCGAATCCTCATGTTCGAATCCTCAAAGGGTTTGCTTGTACCAACCCCGTCAAAAGATAGTCACCGTTTGCAGGACATCACCGCTACGAAATTAGCGTGTGCCAGAGTTAACCAGAGTGTTCTAAACCCATTTACCACCCAGACAATGTTCGAATCCCGATAATCGCCTCTTAAGACAAGCATGGGCTGCTGAAGACCAATTCTAACCCTTATCTTCAAGGCTAGTATACACACTGTAAAAGACACTTGACAGTGAAAGGGAGATAATCCTAGGTTTTCTGAGTGATTTATTTGGTATTTTGACAATATACACACCAAGCAGTGTTACATTTAGCATGCAACCAAGAACAAAAGATGAGGTACATATGTCCGACTAACTTTCAATAGTTTCTGTGGAGAACCTTACAAGATATGATCTTTATATAAAGTAAAATTTCGGTGAAAAAAGTCATCAAAATCAAAATCCAATAGGGCCGTCACTAAGAAAGATATCCAAAAACAGCTAACAGAGTTTGATGTGTTATGTAAGGAGACAATTCTCAGAAAGTTTGAAATCATTTCATGCAGTGGATTCAGAGGAGATAGTATTTGAAGACAGGTACCCAAAAAACCCTGTGAAAACCTTGAATCCAATATGGCTGCCAAACCACGTGATCAATGACCAAAGTCAAAGAACAAAAAATGTCAAGGAACTGAAGCAGCAGATACATGCAAGGTTTGAAAGTAAACTGACGAACAGTTGTGGAGCAGCAGGGCAAAATATATTGTCTAAAAATACTTGTTTTTTAGTTATCTGCCCTTGGCCGTTGGGCGTGATCAATGACCAAAGTCAAAGAACAAAACATATTAAGGAACTGAAGCAGCAGATACATGCAAGGTTTGAAAGTAAACTGACGAACATTTGTAGCAGCAGGGCAAAATATATCGTCTAAAAATACTTGTTTTTCAGTTATCTGCCCTTGCCCTTTGGGCCTTGGGTTTTTGGCGGGAGCCAGTGGTTATTTTGCTAGGTCTGGTACAAAAGTCGGCGGAATAATAAATAATAATAAATCGAACGATTACAATAGGGCTCTGTGGCCTTTTGGCTTGGAGCCCTAATAATAATAATAATAAATCGAACGACTACAATAGGGCTCTACAGCCTTTCGGCTTGGAGCCTTAATAATAATAAATCGAATGATTACAATAGGGCTCTACAGCCTTTCGGCTTGGCGCCCATATACACAAACTATATAAACTGTTATATTTATTAGTTACATGGTCCTGTGCTTCATCTGATCTTGGAACAGATCAGCTGCGGTAATCGTATCTCTGACTTGTGGCGACAGTCAATATCACAGTTTATAGGGAGCAGCTCAGAAATAAGGTTACCGCAGCTGGGAAGAGTTAAACTGAAATAAAATAAATGTAAATTTAAATTATTTGTGGCAGTTCCACCTATGCACTACAAAACAATATTTACATGGTTTCCATGCCCAGCCATGTCCTAGAGATACCATGACATAGGATCTGTTTAGTACATGCACTGTCAAAGTGGGCCTATTTCCATTTTTACATCAGCACTGCCTTCTTTGAAACTATTGACTATATCATAAGCAATCCGGTATGGCCATGGAAATATAAGTCAAAATTGCCAAAATAAAACAACCAATAGAAACATTGAAAATGGCCATGTTTTGTTTTACAGATACTACTTTATGCTTCAATTGTTCATATGATTCTGAAATTCAATAATGTGAAATGAGACAACAATAGTGTTACGGTATAAAAAGAACATTTTGTGTGATTCAGAAATCCTCATTGAGTGCATGTATATGTAGTTATATGAGCAGTCGGCTTCTATCCTGCTGATATTGTGCACCAAGGGTCATGAGCTGCCACTGGTCAATTTGCCAGTTGAGTATGATGAGAGACTTGGATAGAGTCGGGAGGACATTGGAAATAGACTAAGAGGTATTTCCATTTTGTACATGCAAATTGGATAAAACCAACTACCAAACTTCATGTACCATATATGTATAGAATTGTCTGCTCTTTTGTATACAGCAAGTGAATTTTACTTTTTGCAGAATTATATTTTGCTGTAAACAGAAATTACCCTAATTGATTCATTCAAAAAGTCTTTTTTTAATTATTATGGAATGTTACAAAGACACTTGAGACCAACCAAGTTTCGTTGTATGGTTATAACAAACTCAAAGGGACCACTAATTTTAGTTTGTTATAACCATGATAACCATAGTTCGTTATAAGCATTTCGACTAAATTTTCTCATGTTGTTGTTGTTGCATTAAGTGTTTAAGAGGTCGCCTTCTGCCTAAGCAATTTCGGCTGACCTGTCCCTCTTTGGGACTCCTGTGTGTGAGTAGGGTACACATATCTATTGTGAGTTTGGTATTCACATAAATTCTGTTTTTGTATTGATATGATTTCTATTTTCTTATATTGATATGATTTCATTTATATCCTTGGCTGCTCTGTTTATATACGTTTGCGTAGCTGTCCATCTCTCAGAAATAGAATTAGTTTGGCCTTCCCTATTGCATCTCTTGGCTTTAGGAGATCTATGACAGATAGCGGATCTAACTGCAATTCTTATTTTAACCGAGCCCGGGCTGGGGCATGGTCTTGACATTCTAGTAACACGTGGTCAATGGTTTCAGCCTGATTGCAAGATGAACATACCTTGTCATAGTGCTTTTTGTGACCGAGTCTGAGGCGTTAGATAGCAATTTCAATTTTCCTTTCATTTGAGTATGAGTTTGGCTTTTGTTGGACCTTGGATTGAATTTTGTATAGCCATCTGCCGGTCTTACTTGCATCCCATTGGGCTTGCCATCTTTCTGCTATGGAGGCTTTGATTTTGCTTTTTATCTCTAGTTTACTAAAGGGAATAGGCTGTATATCCGCTTTGTCTAGAGTCTGCTTTTTCATTTCCATGAATATCTATGTGAGAGGGGATTCAACACAGCTCCACCTGTTGCCCTTGGTCTGATAGTTTTGTATATTCGTATAGAATATTGTTGACTGTGTTTGGACTGGAGTTTGAGTTTCTGCCACTGATGGCTTGAAGTGCACTTAGCGAGTCTGATAGGACGACTGCCTTTGCTTCCGGAAGTTCTGGTATGAGTTTGAGTGCATGATGAATTGCCTCCAATTCAGCCGTGAATAC